GGTGGATTTTAGGCTACAAGGAGGGCCCCTTAGACATCCACTTACGACAATGGTATGGGGTCCCCCCTCTCTGGAAGGGTGTCTCCTGAATTAGGGGTATCCCCCCCCCCCACCCTCAGACCCCAAGAATACTATACTGCACGTGGAACCCTTGCAAAATTCTTCTCAAGTATCCCTAAGAATATGGCCGATTCCTCTCAATAAGGACCTCAAAAAGGGCCCAAGACTTTTGGGGCAGCCCCCAGAATCATGATGAGGATTGACAGCATTCTAGGGGTTCTACCTTGGGTCCCTTTTTGAGGACCCGTGAGGGAATTTAAGGGCCATATTAGGAGTACATTAAGGGGAACCTTTAGGGGTACAACCTTCAGGGTACGAGTCTGAATCCCTTTCTTTGGGCACCTGCTTTGGAACAAGAAGGCACACAGTGGCAAGCACACAGGGGAACGGAGAGGTTTTAGGGTTTAGAGTTCAGGGTTTCATGCCCAGGTTGACAGACCCCTGCAGTCCTTCGTGTCCGCTTTCTGGGTCACCGGCATCTGACCATCCAGGTGGTCCTGAAAACAGGTTTAGGGACGGGCGGGTGGGGCGGGTGCGGAGGGGGGGACCCGTGATTTCCAGGCCATCCGCACCCCGGGAGGGGGAGGTGGGGAGGGGGAGGAGGAGGGGGCGGGAGGGGGAGGGGGAGGGGGAGGGTGATGTATGTGGGCTCTTACCCTACAAAGGACTGTGTAGCCCTACTCCCGAAACCCAGAAGGCCCAGGGAAAACTGGTAAGGTCCCTTGGCCCGAAGCCCTAGACCCTAAACCCTAAATCCTAAACCCTAAACCCTAAACCCTAGACCCGTAGAACCGTAGAACCGTAGAACCCTAATCTAGGGAAGTAGAGAAGCCTCCAAAACTGGCAACTGCCATTAGCTCCTCAAGGGAGCTCTACTCTCCGAGGTCCGCCTAAGGGCAAGGAGCATGTGGGTTTGGGGTTTAGGGTTTAGGGTTTAGGGTTTAGGGTTTAGGGCTTAGGGTCTAGGGCTTAGGATTTTTGTCAAACTTGGGGTTTAGGTTTGGGGAAACCCTGAACCCAAAGCTCTCCCCAAGATCCGGCCAACCGACCCCTAAACCCTAAGCCCTAAACCCTAAACCCTCAACCCTCAACCCTCAACCCTCAACCCTCAACCCTCAACCCTAAACCCTAAACCCCTAAACCCCTAAACCCCTAAACCCTAAACTCCCACGCCTCGACCAGCTGCTTGGAGCCCTTCTTGAACATAGCACTCACCGAAACCTGGGCTCCGCCACTCGGCTTAGGGTTAGGGTTTAGGGCTTAGGATTTAGGGTTTCGGGTTCAGGACTCCGGGTTCAGGATGGAGGGTCTAGGATCGGTTCCATCATGAGGCTTGCAGAGCTTATGGGTTTTGCAGTACGGTTTAGGGTTGAGTGTTTGGGGGTTAGGGTTTAGGGTTTAGGGTTTTGGGTGTAGGGTTTAGGGGCTGTGTAGGGATTTTGGGGCTTCTAAGTTTTTGGGTTTAGGGCTTCTACTTAAAGGTTCATGGGTCGTTGTAAGTAGGCTAAACGATCCGTATTTCGGGCACAATTCTACTTCTAGCTATCCACCAACCCCGCAAGTAGGAAGTTCAGTGGTTGGGGTCTGAGAACGGGCATGCCGAGGGAGACCTCGCTAAACAGCAACAGAACCTGAAGCCCCGAGCCCGCAGCTTCGGACTTCGGGGTCAGGCGCTTGGGGCAGAGGTACCACCCCAAGGAGCGAACGCCCATCAACCTGCCATCTCGGTTTGCCCCCAGATACACCCTAAACCCCTGAACCCCTGAACCCCTGAACCCCTGAACCCCGAAACCCTAAACCCTAAACCTAAGCCCTAAGGGGATCCCCAGGAGGGAGCGCCCAGAATTGTCGAACACGCCTCCCTAAACCCTGAACCCTAAACTCCTACACAAGATGGCAAGGGCTCAACCCTAAACCCTAAACCCTAAACCCTAAACTCTACCTCGTCCTGGAGGGTTGTGCCCTTGAGGCCGCTAGGGTCGGCGACTTTTTTGGGATCAAGTGCCCCTTTTACGTGCTTTTTTGGGGCTCAGAATCCGAGCTTACACCCTTAAATCGTGTCTTTAGGGCTGTTGGCTTCAGGGGCTACAGGACTCCACACTTCACAGCCTGCGGCCAAGTGGCGGCGGAGCTCAAGAAAAGAATGGAAATCATCGCTCGGATCATGGCCATGGTTTTTGTTGGCGAAGATCCAGAAACCGGGGGGATTCGGTCTCGAAGAGAGAGTGCTCACGGCTGCGGGCGGAAGTGTCGGCTTTGGTGTAGCTTAGAAGCCCTAAACCCTAAACCCCATACCCGAAACCCGAAACCCTAAACCCTAAACCCTCCCTAGGCCCTAGTTAAGGGTTTAGGGAGTCTGGATGTTTTCGGGAGTTGGGTTCCAGGAGGGGTACCTTTTGGGAATCTTCAAAACCGTCAGGGTTTCGGGTTTAGGGTTTTAGGGTTTAAGGGTTTAGGGTTTAGGGTTGAGGGTTGAGGGGGCTTAGAGGGACCCCTCGGGAGCACAGAATTTTAGGATTCAGGGTTTGGGGTTTGGGGTTTAGGGCTTAGGGCTGAAGGTGATAAAGTCTCGATTTGGCTTGAGTATGTAAGCTTTGGGGTTGAGCTGCTCCTAGACGTCCAAGCTCCCCTAAGCCCCAAAGCCCATATCCCTAAACCCTGAACCCTAAACCCCAAACCCAAACCCCTAAGCCCCAAAAAATCGGTCCTTAACCTGCGGCTCATCTCTCAAAAGCTGCAAGAGGAGCCTTCTCTGTCCGGCAGCAAAGGCAGGACAGGACGGCGCACAAGGCATCCTATCAGGGTGTCGGCAGTCTAGGCCCCGGGGGGCGGGGGGAGAGGGGTAGGGGGGGGAAAGAAGTTTAAGGTTAGGGTTAGGGTTTAGGGTTTAGGGTTTAGGGTTTAGGGTTTAGGGTTTAGGGTTTAGGGTTTAGGGTTTAGGGTTTAGGGTTTAGGGTTTCGGGTTTCGGGTTTCGGGTTTAGGGTTTAGGGTTTAGGGTTTAGGGTTTAGGGTGTAGGGGTCAGGGTTTAGGGTTTAGGGTTTGGGGCTTGGGGTTTAGGGTTAGGGTTGGGGATGGAGTGGGGTGGGGGGAAGGTCAAATTTAGAGACCTGCCACTTGAATGAGGACGGTGCAAGACGGGCTAAGGGGGATGGGTTGCTGTTTAACCCGAACCCCAAACTGATAAAGTGATAAACGTTGTAGTAAAGTCCCACCTAGGGAATGCAAGTACATGAAGCAGGGTTTAAATTACTGCTATTGGTGAGTGCATATACTTGGTGTCCTATTGGGGATACAAGGAATATGAACCCTGCTTCGACATGACGTGGGCCGTGCGGCGAGAGTTCCCCCCAAACCCGCAACCCTAAACCCTAAATGCAAAACTGCAAAAAGAAAGAAGCTGGTAGATTGTTTGTTTCATTCTTGCCCAGCCCCGAGAAACACTCGCGCAGATATCATGTCGAAACCCTGACCCTAAACGCCAAACCCCCTCAACCCAAAGCCCTAAACCCTTTCTTCAAAGGCTGGAGCGGGAAGGGAGGACTGTCGGCACTTCCTGCGCCCTTTCAGCAGAATGCAAGCCAAGCCATGACGAGATGCCTAAACCCTAAATCCTATCAATTTTAGGATTAGCTGTTTACGGGGTTTGGGGAGCCTAAACTCAATTAAGAACCAGATGACGACCCATGCTGTTTAGGTCGACAGTACCTGTTCCCTTCGCAGGCCCAACTCAGTTGACCATGGAGTCTTCTGGGAGCTTCGTGGGTAGTCCTAGCATGTAGAGTTGAAATTGCTCCAGGGTTTAGGGTTAAGGGTTAATACGACTTTTTCTACTCGTTTACCCTACTCTGAACTGTCTTCGAACCTCCAAGTAGGCTTTCGGGTCTCGCCCTGCAACCCAAAAAAAAACCCTCCTGAACCCTAAACCCTAAATCCCGAAAAACCCCCAACTGCCGGAGCTTCGGCTCACCTTGGCGCTGCTGCGCAGGTCTCTGGCGCGCTGTCGGGAGAGGCGATCGCCCAGGTCGTCGCCTTTGTCGTTGCCTGGGGCTCCGTGTTTCCGGTTTAAGGGTTTAAGGGTTTAAGGGTTTAAGGGTTTCCGGGTTTAAGGGTTTAAGGGGGGATTGAGGGCTTTGGAGTTTGAGGGTTTCAGGGTTGAGGGTCTTAGGCCCCTTAAAGCTGGAGCTTCCCAAATTTGAGGCCCTTGGGCCCCGGAAGACTCCAAGATTCCTCAACAACCTGAACCCGTCAGTCTCTAAGATTCTGCATAGGGTTTAGGGTTTAGGGTTTGGGGTTTAGGGTTTAGGGTTTAGGGTTTAGGGGTTAGGGTTCCTAAGGCCACTTAAGGCCCTTAGGCCTCCCAAGCTTGAGGCGCTTAGGCCCGGCAACTTCCTAAACCCTTTTCACAACCCTATAAACCATACTTTCTGAAACCTAAACCCTAAACCCTGAACCCTGAACCGTAAACCCCTAAACCCCTAAGCCCTGAACCCTCTACACCTGGGAATGTGCGAGGGCGGTGGGGTTCGTGTCAGCCGAGGCCGAGGCTCTTTTGGGACGCACATGAGGCGCCCGGTCATGGTAGGTTTTAAGTGTATGGAGTGTTTGGGGCTTAGGGCCCCTAGACCCTGAACCCTAAACCCCTTAAACCCTAAACTCTAAACCCGAAACCCTCAACCCTAAACCCTAAACCCTCAACCCCCAAACCCTAAACCAGCCCAGCGGCCGACTTGCCGCCCCTGGAACTCCAGGAAACCATAGCCTTTGCCTCCCACCTCGCGTCTCACAGGCGTGGGTTCTGAAGGCCGTGGGTTCACGTCAAGCTCCGGTTTAGGGTTGGGAGGGATTTAGGGTTGAGGGTTGAGGGTTGAGGGTTGAGGGTTGAGGGTTGAGGGTTGAGGGTTGAGGGTTGAGGGTTGAGGGTTGAGCAAGATGCTTCAGGAGAAGGGGTTTAGGGTTTAGGGTTTAGGTTTTAGGGTTTAGGGGATGGAGCTTGTCATGCACACGGCCTACTTACTCGACCTGCAGGCGAGGTCCCCCAGCGACAAAGGAACAAGAACGAGGCCCCGTGTGCATGTTCTGGTGCCCCGGAGGGACACTAACACCCAAAAAGCCGGGAGCACCTTACTGAACCCTAAACCCTCCCAACCCCTCAACCTTTGCCCCCTAAACCCTAAACCCTAAACCCTATAGACCCTAAACCCTAAACCCTAAACCCTAAACCCTAAACCCTAAACCCCTAAACCCTAAACCCTAAACCCGAAAAAAAGCTTGTGCTCGCAAAAACAGGGGCCTCTTCACGGCCCAGGTCGCCCGGCGCAATGCAGAGGAGGAGGGCCGAGGCGAGCTGGCGGCCGGCCGGTCGCTTTTCGAGCTTGAGGGCTGGTAAGTCAGGGGGCCCTTGAGGGTTAGGGTTCTGATATAGGGTTTAGGGTTTAGGGTTTAGGGTTTAGGGTTTAGGGTTCAGGGTTTAGGGGTCGGAATGATTACTAATAGCATTCCCTTAGTGTTCCTTTTCACTACACTATAACAACCTCCAGGGTGCCCTTGGGGTGACGAAAGGTATTCCCTTACGGTCCCTTCAGAACTATACCATAATTACCCCCAAAACCCTATTCGAAATATAAAGGCCGCTGTAGTAGGTTTCCTGGGATGGGCCCTTAACAGCACTCTGAAAAACATTGATTCTCACAGCCCTTCAATTATCAACGCCCTACACTCTAAACACTAATACCCCTAAACCCCTGAACCCTAAACCTTAACCCTAAACTCTGAGGGTAGTTACATTGGTCCCTTCGTATGGGCCATAAAAAGGGGACCCTTTTCTACCCTATACAAATTGAGGGCCCATACATCAGAACCCTTTAAAGGATGTTAAGGGCCCGTGAAACTACCCTCAGATAGACCCTCAACCGTGAACCCTGAGTCCTACACCTGGCTCACCAAAGCAGGGTTTAGGGTTTAGGGTTTAGGGTTTAGGGTTTAGGGTTTAGGGTTTAGGGTTTAGCCAAAATGGAAGTACAAACAGGAGCCCAGACGGCTACAGTCAGTTCCCCTTCCTACTTCCCCTGAGACAGACAATCCTGAAACTACAGTGGCCCAGAAGCCCGTTTCAGATGAAACAAGCCCCTAAATCCTAACCCTAAACCCTACCGCCCCCCCCCCCCCCCCCCCCCCAAATCTACACCTGCCGCCGTGGCAGGGGGGCCTCATGAAGCTTCTCATACTGCTTGGCGACCTGTCAGTGGCTCCGTAGAACCCTAAACCTAAACCCTAACCATAACTGCAAGCTCTGAAGACCTGAAGCTGACGTCTAAAGCCCAAAAATGTCAGGTGAGTCAACACCAGACGGCACTACAGCCCCTGAACTCCCCGAGCCAAAACGCCCCAAGCCCCAAATCCACATCCTAACCCTAAACCCTATCCTGAACCTTCCCAGGAACCCTAAACCCTAAACCCTAAACCCCCCGACCCCCCCCCCCCCCCGGCCGCCGCCAAAGCCTTTATCACTTCACTCAACAAACTCTCAAACTCGAAGAGCCCACTATCCTCAATCGCCAGCCGCTAATCCAAAAACATCTCAAAACCCGCGGGAAAACTGTTAAAACAAAAACAGGTTTAGGGTTTAGGGTTTAGGGTTTAGGGTTTAGGGTTTAGGGTTTAGGGTTTAGGGTTTAGGGTTTAGGGTTTAGAGTTTAGGGTTTAGGGCTCAGGGTTCAGGGTTTATGGTTTAGGGTTTAGGATGCCTCAGCACCCTTTTCCCTGCCTCCTGCTCCGTCCTCTCACGGGCCCGGAGCTCACCGAGGCGCTTGTTGTCGCGCTGGAAGGCACTCCTGCTTCCGCCAGGATCATTAGGGTGTTTTTGGGGGTTTAGGGTTTAGGGTTTAGGGTTTAGGGTTTAGGGTTTAGGGTTTAGGGTTTAGGGTTTAGGGTTTAGGTTTTAGTATAGAGAACCCAGAACCCAACAAGGAAAAAAAGGTAGACTGCTGAACAGCCTAGATTCTTCCCAAGACGAAACACCCTCAACCCTAAACTAGCTAAACCCTTCAAGGCCAAGAAGGAATTGCAACACCCCCCTAAACCTTACGAACCCGAAACCCTAAAACCCCCTGAAACCCCGCTCCAGAGCTTCTGGTGAAGGCTCGTCGCCTCCGAGATGACTTGCTGCCATTCCTCCTGACACTTCAGGACTTCGAGCTTGGGGGCTTTGCAGGTTTATGTCGGCCAGGGTTTAGGGTGTAGGGCTTCGGGGATTTGCTTTATTTAATATTTAATATGTATGTATATATATATATATATCTTAATTTTTGTTTCTTTTGGGGGGGATCTTCGGGTTAAGGGGGTTTAGTGTCTGAGGGGTGGACTATCTTTGGGGGCTTCAACGCGAGTTCCCTGCGCAGAGCCCACCCTCCAGAGCCCAAACCGTGAGAATTCTTCTAAGGTCCAGAGCATCTTAAGCCCCCAAAACCCTGAAGCCCAGAAGCCGAACTTTCAAAAACACCGGAACCCTAAACCCTAAACCCCTAAACCCCTAAACCCCTAAAACCCTAAACCCCCAAACCCCTAAACCCCGAAACCCCTAAACCCCGAAACCCCGAAACCCCTAAACCCCTAAACCCCTAAACCCCTAAACCCCTAAACCCCTAAACCCCTAAAACCCTAAACCCCTAAACCCCTAAACCCCTAAACCCCTAAACCCTAAACCCTGAACTTTTGAGCTACACAGGCACGCCGACTGTCAAACCTCACCCCTTCCAAAGGGCGAAAGGCTACTGTCTCCGCGGCGCAAAAGGCAGACCCCCCCCCCCCTCCCCAAAACAAACGAACAACAAAAACAAATAAGCAAGATACCTATCAATATATATGTATATATATATATATATGTGTATATATATATAGATAATATACGTATACCGCAAAGCCTACATAAACCCTCAACCCAGAACCCTAAAACCCTAGATCGAAGGCCTCATTTCGCTCGCTGCCACTCTCGTCCGGGGAGCTTTCCTCTGAGGTGGCCTGGGCCTCCGCGCATTCCGGGCTTCTCGGGCTTGTAAATACAAATAATCATATAAATAGAAATATAAATACAAATTTATAACAATGTACATGTGTATGTAATTTAAAGTACGTATATACATATATAGACATATACTTAGGGTTTAGGTCTTAGGGCTTAGGGTTTAATTGAACTAGGGTTTTGGGGTTGGGGGCTTAGGGTGGTATTTGCCGATCTACATATCGATCTTTGGGTTTAGGACCTTGGGGCCCTTGAGGGTTCGGGCGTTGGTGGCTGGGAGATCTTGACCTGAATCTGGCGGTCGGGGTCTCAGGGTTCTAGGCTTGACAGGTTAGGGGTTTCGGGTTTAGGGTTTAGGGTTGAACGTTGAACTAGCTTGAGCGTGTCAGGGTTCTCGGGTTCTAGGGGTTTTGGGGAAGAGTTTCGCGTCGCTTCATTCGGGCAAGGACATGCTGATGCGAAGAAGAGCTCAGCATTTTAGGCCGTATTGAAGAAGTAGGTCCATTTCGAGTCCTAAACAACGGCCGACCAACCCTGATCCCTGTATCCTACCATTACGCCTTTTCCCCAACTATAAACCTATGTCCGACTGTGCCCCACCCAGGTCGGGAGATAAGGAAATAGGTCTGGGTCTGGGTGTTTCGGGATGTGTTTCGAAAATGGCTTTGGGCTTGGGGCTTAAGGTCCTCAACGCCTAACCCCAAAACCCCAAAACCCCTCAACCCCTAAACCCCTAAACCCCCAAACCCCAAACCAATAGCCGAAACAGATGTAGGACGTGGCGTTCTGCTCATCCCAGCCTGGATCTTCAGGAGCACCTGCGGATTGCTGGCTTCGGGTTCAGAGCTTATGGGGCATTTTGGCCTTTGTGGGGCTTCTAGGGCTTATAGGGCTTCGGGCTCGGGGGGTAGGGATGAGGTTTAGCTCAGGGCTCAGGGCTTCGGGTTAGGGCGTAGACCCCTTAGTTGAGAAGGCAGCGTCAAGCAAGCATTTTGACAGGAACCTCCGGCTGCAGTCCTCAAGGCGTACTCATGGAACCACGACCCTGGAAGGTGACAATCTTTCGGACCCTAAGCTGTAAGGCGTACACATGAATGAGTTTTTTCGCGGCCCCCCCAAAAAGCCACATTGTAGATCAACCCTCAGATGCCGAAGGCTCACCTTCGAAAATGTCTGGGTGCACTAGGCTCCCACGACCGAATCTCTCGAACTCGATGCTGCAACTTCCTCAGCGAATCCGCTCTAGCCAGCACTGCGCGGGTCTCTGCACTGGCACCACTTGCCTCTGCTGCACGAAGTGGCGTAGCGCCTGCCAGGTTGGCTTTCCAAACGTCTGCACGGGCATCCAAGAGTAAACGCACGACCTCCACATTGTCGCTCTCCACCGCCGCAAGTAAGGGTGTATCGCCGTTGTCGTAGGTCGCTTCGTTCTTGTTGGCACCAGCGTTCAACAGCAAACTCACCACACTGGTGTAGCCTCCCTTAGCAGCCACGACGAGCGGCGCCCTGCCATCCGTTGAAAGCCTTGCATTTGGGTCAGAGTCTGCACTCAACAATAGACCCACGACAGATGAATTGCCATCCTGGGCAGCCAGAAGCAAAGGTGTCTGCTTGGTTAGGGTCGGCTCTTGCTTCGAGAAGCATCTGCACCATGCGGCTGTTGCCTTCGCCGGCTGCGAAAAGCAGGGTTCCGACGCCGTCGTCCGACCGCACCTTGTTTGGGTCTGCACGTGCGTTGAGCAGCAATGCCAGCATATCTGCATCGACGGTGCAGGCCTGCACCACGGGCGTGGTGCCATCGTTGTCTCCCATGTCTTTGTCAGCACCAGCATCCAGCAACAAGCGGGCCACTTCCAGCTGGCCACAGCTGACTGATGCCAACAGCGGCGTCACGCCATCACTATTGGTCTTGTCCTTGTCGGCACGTGCTGAGAGCAAGCTCCTTACCACACTGATATGACCATTGGTAGATGCCAAGGTAAGAGGTGTGGCCCCATCCCATGTTCCTGCCACGTCCGGGTCTGCTCCTGCTTCTAGCAACAGCGACAAGGCTGGCAAAGATCCCCGCGTTGCAGCTAGGTGCAGAGCTGCAAAGCCCCTGGAATTTCTTGAGTCCGGATCGAGTGGCATCTGCAGGAGGTGTCGGAGACGAGACGCAATGCCCACGGACCTGCACAGCTCATCCGCTTGTCTCTCTGAGGTCGACAGAAACTGAAGAAGAACCAGCTGTAAGTCACTCAAGGATTGGATATTGGCGGCATCCCCCAGGATATCGCCACTTTGAGTCAACAGCCTTTGCCGAAACCTCGGTATGCCAAGCCGGGACCACAGGTAGGATTTCAGTCCACGGACGGGACCCCCAGGAGCTTCAGTCATACTCTGAACTTGGTCTTGCTCAATCGCAGCTATCTCTTCACCCGATGCCATCATCCGAATTCGCAACATGACAGTCGGACGGCCTAGCGCATTGGTGATTCACCGAGACAAATCCTAAACCCTGACTCGCCCCCGACGAGGCTATCGTCTCTGCACGTTTGTTTCGCGCTTGGGGCCACGTGGCTACGGTGAAGTTCTCACTATCCCTGTGGAGGTTTCTTGTGTAAAAGCAGTATAAAAGCAGTACTCCAGCTTTAGGGTTTAGGGTTTAGGGTTTAGCGTTTAGGGTTTAGGGTTTAGGGTTTAGGGTTTAGGGTTTTACGCCCCCCCCCCCTCTCCCAAACACTGAGCTCTCTCCCTTTCGCCCTCTCGCCTGTCTGTCTCCCTGGCCAACTCCACCAACGTCTCCCCTCCCCACCCTAAACCCTAAAACCCGAAAACTCTAAAACCCTAACCCCTAAGCCCTAAAAACCCTAAAAACCCTAAAACCCTAAGAAACCCTAAAACCCCCAACAAAACCTAACAACACCCTAAATAAAAACGCGCTGGCAGACCTTCTCGGCCGTCTCGGAAAGCCTTCGGTCCGGAGCGCAAGGCGTTCAGGGCTTATGGTAGGGTTTAGGGTTTAGGGTTCGGGGTTTAGGGTTTAGGGTTTAGGGCTTAGGGCTTAGGGCTTAGGGTTTAGGGTTTAGGATTTAGGGCTTAGGGTTTAGGGTTTAGGGTTTAGGATTTAGGGTTTAGGGCTTAGGGTTTAGGGTTTAGGATTTAGGGTTTAGGGTTTGGGATTCGGGTTTATGGGGTCTAGGGTTTGGGGGGACTGGGGTTGGGAGTTTGCTGGAGGGCCTCAAAGCAAGGTAGCAAGTTTATAGGGTTTAGGGTTTAGGGTTTAGGGTTTAGGATTTAGGGTTTGGGGTTCGTTTCGGGGGCGAAGAGCTTAGGGTCCAGGGGCTTTCTTGTTGAATGATGGCGGCTCGTAACTTTGTACAACCCTAAACCTGATCTGCCCCCTGCCCCCTAAACCCTAAACTCTAAACCCTAAACCCTAAAACCTAAACCCTAAACCCTAAACCCTAAACCCTAAACCCAAAACCCTAAACCCTAAACCCTAAGCCCTAAACCCTAAACCCTAAACCCTAAACCCCGAGCCCTATTCTGGGCCTCCGCTACAGAGCCGAATAGGCACCAGGCTCTCGAGTTGAAGGCTCCCAAAGGGTGAGGCCTTCTAAGGTTGAGGGTTTAAGGTTTCTAAAGGTTAGGGGTCAACACCAGCAGTAAAGAAAGGTTTCGGGTTTAGAGGGCTTAGAGTGTAGGGCTCGGGGTTTGGAGGGCCTGAAGTTCAGGGTCTGGTGGGTCTAGCGTTCAGGGAACAAAAAGGTTAGTTTAGAGGGTCTGGTATACGTAGGGCTTGCTGGGGTTAAATGCTCAGACGTTTAGGGTTTAGGGTTTAGGGTTTAGGGTTTAGGGCTTAGGGTTTAGGGTTTAGGGTTTAGGGATTCGAGCTTAGAGCGTTTAGCCCTGGTGATGCTGAGAGATGGACCACTGCATGATCTGACTCCGGTGGGCCACACCTTCGCGCTGTCGGTGTGGGAGTTTAGGTTTAGGGTTCAGGGTTTAGGTTTTAGGGTTAAGGGTTTAGGAGTTTAGGAGTTTAGGATTTGGCGGTTCGTTCAGGGGTTCGGGTTATATATAAGCCCAGCCAAATCAGAAGACCTCAACCTAACAGGTTATGGCCCCAAAGGGAGAAGCCACCAGCAAACGGATAATCACGAGAATCAGCAGGATTGGCCCTTACCATAGGCCGCCACAAAGCGAGCATCACGAACATCAGCCGGACTGGCCTTTACCATAGGCCGCCAGCAAAGGGAGCATCACGAGCATCAGCCGGACTGGCTCTTACCATAGGCCGCCAGCAAAGGGAGCATCACAAACATCATCTGGACTGGCCTTTACCATAAGCCGCCAGCAGAGGGAGCATCACGAGCATCAGCCGGATTGGCTCTTACCATAGGCCGCCAGCAAAGCAAGCATCACGAGCATCAGCCGGACTGGCCTTTACCATAGGCCGCCAGCAAAGCGAGCATCACGAGCATCAGCCTTTACTACAGGCCGCCAGCAGCAAGCATCACGAGCATCAGCCGGACTGGCCTTTGCCATAGGCCGCCAGCAAAGCGAGCATCACGAGCATCAGCCGGACGGGCCTTTACCATAGGCCACCAGCAAAGCGAGCATCACGAGCATCAGCCGGACTGGCCCTTACCATAAAGCGAACATCACGAGCATCAGCCGGACTGGCCTTTACCATAAGCCGCATCAGCCGGACTGGCCCTTACCATCGACCTCCAACAACGCGACCATCACGAGCATCAGCCGGACTGGCCTTTACCATAAGCCGCCAGCAAACCGAGCATCACGAGCATCATCCGGATTGGCTCTTACCATAGGCCGCCAGCAAAGCAAGCATCACGAGCATCAGCCGGACTGGCCTTTGCCATAGTCACGAGCATCAGCCGGACTGGCCTTTACCATAGGCCGGCAGAAAAGGAAGCATCACGAGCATCAGCCGGACTGGCCTTTACCATAGGCCGCCAGCAAAGGGAGCATCACAGGCACGAGCACGAGCATCAGCCGGACTGGCCTTTACCAAAGGCCGCCAGAGCATCAGCCGGACTGGCCCTTACCATAGGACGCCAGCAAAGCGAGCATCACGAGCATCAGCCGGACTGGCCTTTACTATAGGCCGCCAGCAAAGGGAGCATCACGAGCATCAGCCGGACTGGCTCTTACCATAGGCCGCCAGCAAAGGGAGCATCACGAGCATCAGCTGGACTGGCCCTTACCATAGGCCGCCAGCAAAGGGAGCATCACGAGCATCAGCCGGACTGGCCCTTACGGCCGCCAGCAAAGGGAGCATCACGAGCATCAGCCGGACTGGCCTTTACCAAAGGCCGCCAGCAAAGGAGCATAACGAGCACCAGCCGGACTGGCCTTTACCATAAGCCGCCAGCAAAGCGAGCATCACGAGCATCAGCCGGACTGGCCCTTACCATAGGCCTCCACCGAGCATCACGAGCATCAGCCGGACTGGCCTTTACCATAGGCCGCCAGCAAAGCGAGCATCACGAGCATCAGTCGTTACCATAGGCCGCCAGCAAAGCGAGCATCACGAGCATCAGCCGACTGGCCCTTAGCATAGGCCGCCAGCAAAGCGAGCATCACGAGCATCAGCCGGATAGGCCTTTACCATAGGCCACCAGCAAAGGGAGCATCACGAGCAGCCGGACTGGCCCTTACCATAACCCGCCAGCAAAGCGAGCATCACGAGCATCAGCCGGACTGGCCTTTACCATAGGCCGCCAGCAAAGCGAGCATCACGAGCATCAGCCTTTACTACAGACCGCCAGCAGCAAGCATCACGAGCATCAGCCGGACTGGCCTTTGCCATAGGCCGCCAGCAAAGCGAGCATCACGAGCATCAGCCGGACGGGCCTTTACCATGGGCCACCAGCAAAGCGAGCATCACGAGCATCAGCCGGACTGGCCTTTACCATAAGCCGCCAGCAAACATAGGCCGGCAGAAAAGGAAGCATCACGAGCATCAGCCGGACTGGCCTTTACCATAGGCCGCCAGCAAAGGGAGCATCACAGGCACGAGCACGAGCATCAGCCGGACTGGCCTTTACCAAAGGCCGCCAGCAAAGGAAGCATTGAGCATCAGCCGGACTGGCCCTTACCATAGGACGCCAGCAAAGCGAGCATCACGAGCATCAGCCGGACTGGCCTTTACTATAGGCCGCCAGCAAAGGGAGCATCACGAGCATCAGCCGGACTGGCTCTTACCATAGGCCGCCAGCAAAGGGAGCATCACGAGCATCAGCTGGACTGGCCCTTACCATAGGCCGCCAGCAAAGGGAGCATCACGAGCATCAGCCGGACTGGCCCTTACGGCCGCCAGCAAAGGGAGCATCACGAGCATCAGCCGGACTGGCCTTTACCAAAGGCCGCCAGCAAAGGGAGCATAACGAGCACCAGCCGGACTGGCCTTTACCATAAGCCGCCAGCAAAGCTAACATCACGAGCATCAGCCGGCCTGGCCCTTACCATAGGCCGCCACCGAGCATCACGAGCATCAGCCGGACTGGCCTTTGCCATAGGCCGCCAGCAAAGCGAGCATCACGAGCATCAGTCGTTACCATAGGCCGCCAGCAAAGCGAGCATCACGAGCATCAGCCGGACTGGCCCTTAGCATAGGCCGCCAGCAAAGCGAGCATCACGAGCATCAGCCGGATAGGCCTTTACCATAGGCCACCAGCAAAGGGAGCATCACGAGCAGCCGGACTGGCCGCCAGCAAAGCGAGCATCACGAGCATCAGCCGGACTGGCCTTACCATAGGCCGCCAGCAAAGGGAGCATCACGAGCATCAGCCGGACTGGCCTTTACCATAGGCCGCCAACAAAGGGAGCATCACGAGAATCAGCCGGACTGACCCTTACCATAGGCCGCCAGCAAAGCGAGCATCACGAGCATCAGCCGGACTGGCCCTTACCATAGGCCGCCAGCAACGGCAGGCCCTTGCCATAGGCCACCAACAAAGGGAGCATCACGAGAATCAGCCGGACTGACCCTTACCATAGGCCGCCAGCAAAGCGAGCATCACGAGCATCAGCCGGACTGGCCCTTACCAGAGGCCGCCAGCAACGGCAGCATCACGAGCATCAGCCGGACTGGCCCTTACCATAGACCGCCAGCAAAGGGAGCATCACGAGCATCAGCCGCCGCCAGGCGCATTAGACGGACAGGCCCTTACCATGGGCCGCCAGCAAACCGAGCATCACGAGCATCAGCCGGATTGGCCCTTAACATAGGACGCCAGCAAAGGGGAGCATCGCGGACATCAGCCGGACTGGCCCTTACCATAGGCCGCCGGCAAAGGTAGCATCACGAGAATCAGCCGGACTGACCCTTACCATAGGCCGCCAGCAAAGGGAGCATCACGCGCATCAGCCGGACTGACCCATACCATAGGCTGCCTGCAGCGTGAGCATCACGAGCATCAGCCGAACTGGCACTT